TGGGCGTCCATTAACATATGAACGCCCGTCCAATCTTTAGGGACGACTGTTCATAACCTATGAACGGCTGTCCCTCATTTTTGTTTATATTTTTTATTCTATTTACTGACGTCCATAGTAAATGGACTCCCGTCTATATAATATGGACGAGAGTCCATTGATGAACGACCGTTCACTAGAAAAAAAAATTTGAACATGAAACATGTCTGGTGTGAGTCACAGGACACGTAAGCCGGTGTAAGATTTCGGTGTAGAATCCCGGTGTCTGTAGCATTATCATAGTTTCATGGCATCGCAAAACAAAGAGAGAATTAATTAATTAATTAGGCGTTTTGATTTAGTTAATTAGATTTGACTACGTATTCTGGATTTTGAAGTTTTGACTGAAGGAGTAGGGCAAATATCATCTGCATCCCTTATATATAACACAGTACTATTCTATCCTCCTTATTATATTTTGTTTATTGAGTTTTAATTATAATGAAAAAAATTAATATTCCAATATATATATTGGAATATTAATTTTTTTCATTATAATTAATAACAAATGTCTAGTAAGAACGTTTTATGTAAACTTTGGAAGAATCATTCTTAAATATTATAGATTCATTTATATAATATTATTCTAATTAATAATAATAAATTTAATAATATTTAAAAATGATCAATATAAAATTTAAGCAAAAATATCCTTGACATCATATTCTATTATCTACTTATTATCATAATTTATCTAATATCACCCCCTTTAGAGGTTTCTTATAATTTCAATTTAAGGCTTTTTTGGTAATTTAATCTTTGAGGGGTTTTTGGTAATTTAAGTTGTATCTAATAATACTCCCGATATTGAGAACATTTTATTGAGAAATAAACAGTTAAAGGCACATGGGGTTATGAGCTTTGCACGAGAGCATGCCACGTTCACGATGGATGTATATATTGGTCTATATGAATAATGCTAAGGACAACAATTTTTTACACCGAATTTTTATACCGAAGGACGTGGTATCCAGTTAGCTGCAGTCACGTTAGAGACAACACTCGTCTTTCATGAATGGACGTCTGTCCATGATGGACGACCGTTCATCATGAATGAACGAGTGTGTACCAATTATGGACAAGCGTCTACAAAAATAACAATGGAGTCCCGTCCATATTATATGAACGGATGTCCATTTATTATAGACGTGCGTCCACTTCATATGGACACCCGTCCATAAAATTTTGAAACACAGTAATGGACGACTGTCTATACATAATGGACGGCCCGTCCATTTTATATGGATAGCCGTCCATATTGAAATGGACATTGAAATTGAAAGGCCAATATTGAAATGTTTGTGGGGTTCACATTTGCATTCACTCCCAACCTTACACAATTCTAAGCATTTTTTTTTTAATAGCAGGAGCATATTTGATGCCCCACCTTCAATGTTGGTTGATTCTGGACAAAAAGGCTTGACTTTGGATGGGTGTCCATTTTTTGGGAGTCATAGCAATGTGTTTATTTTCTAAGATTTTTTGTTTAAGTGTATTGGGCATCTGCTCCAGTTACCCACTCATTTTAAATAAATAATTTTAAGGTTTGTTCTCATTGAAAATGGATGCTCATCCATATAATATGGACAGACATCTATTTTTTTTATATGGACGGGCGTCCATTCGAGGTGGACACCCGTCCATAAGAAATGGAATCCCATCCATAGGAAATGGACTCCCATCCATATATTATGGACGGGAGTCCATTGTTATTTTCGTACGAGATTGGTGGACGGTTGTCCATTAAATATAGATGGGTGTCCATAATTGTTGGACAGCTGTTCATTCACGGAAGACGTATTTTGTCTCTAATGTGTGTTGGAGTAGGTGCCCTAGAGCCAATCTATTATTGTAAAAATTGACTCTGTAATAAATGTTTATTTATCAATAAAATGCATATTCTTCTATATCGTATAAATCTTAGTTATATGTAATGATATATGTCCTTAGGATGGTAGAACAGTGACGAGAGTATCAAGTGTTTCAAATCTTGATAGTGAGAACTCTATGATCACATATGGTGGCAATTCTAGAAACATCCGTAGCCCCAGTAATATTCTGACCAAGGACACATATAATACAATAAGGCTATCATAGTGGTGAATGACCCTGTCGAAAGGCAGTGACTGATCTCACTTGTCAAAGTTGTTTACTGACCACCTAGTGCAACGTATGGGTGTTTGCTAGAGGCAAGTTCACTGAACAGACCCATCAGAGGATTCCATATGGATGGTAACCCCAGTGTCTATGGAATAAATCCTCTAACGGATGGTGGTGCATGTGATCCTTAGACTTGAGATCACCGAAGCACCTTGTGCACTAATTGGTGTAGTTTGATACTAGTCTGACGTAGTTCTATTCAGAGCTATCAATACAGTAGTGATTGTCTACATTGAGAAGTGTATTGAGACTATGGTGGATCGACAAAGGATTCATCACTCCTGGGTACGGGAGAAGCTATCTTACTAGGTAATTTAGTAAATGACAATGACACTAAATCTGTTGCCGCAGTGGGATTGAGTTGAAGCTCAATCCAATTTATTATTTCAGTCATTGGTCCATTAACTGAATACAAACATGTCGAGAATATCTGAGGTTGACACTATTTTTGTACCTAAGTCTCGATGAGATAACCAATGATGAAATGATTTGATTGTACGGTAACCATATCGTTGACAAGTTACGGTTTCACTGAATCCGAATCTATCGGGTGGTCATGATGCCTTGCTAGAGGTCAATCTTGGTCTATATGTAGTGAGACGATTAATTGGTGTTAATCACGATACTACATACTGCCGATATGATAAGGAGCCTACAGGTAACACACTTAGAAGATAATTTAAGAATCAATTTGTGAAAATGGTATTTTCATCTTTCAGGACGAAATGGTATTTTGGTAATCTCACAGTGCAATTAAATTTGCTGAAATTGTTGCCTGTATTTAATTTTAATATTAAAATTAAATTAGTGAGATTATATTTAAATATATCTATGTATATATTTAAATGAATTATTATTATTAATTAAATGTTAATATATTATTATATATTAATTGATTTTAATTATAATAATAGTAATTAATTAATTAAAATACCATAAAGTGTGTGTTTGGTTGCAAGGGTGAACTAAGGTTGGAGCCCATAACTATTCCTAAGTGGAATAGGGTTTTAATTGTTGTACTATATAAGTGCAACTGAAAATAAAAACAAGGTGATATATTCATTCAATTAAAAACCGTAGCCACCCTATCTCTCTCTCTCTCACGTTACACTCTTGTGTGAAGAAGAAAATTTTTTTTGTTCTTCTTTCTTGATTGTTGAAGCCCTTGATTGTCCGCGGATTATCTTCATGTGGACTTCCATGAGTGCGATCCTATATTGGATCGATTAGCGAAGAATCACGTGAACAGTGTCGGTGAACAATAGCTGGTGAACTGTATCTGGAGAACAGTAATCGATGAATAGTATTCGTGTCTAAAGTCAGAGATATTCGGAGGAGCCTCCAAACGTCGCTATGAACTAAATCCTTGTATGGATTTGTTTTTAATACAGTTTTATTTCACATTTCAGTTTATGCATGAAAACGTTATAATCTGTACTCGGATCTCGGTTCATGTAATTGATCGATTCGTCTTAAATATTACATTTTTCTGCTATGCGAATCCAGCCAATTACTCACAATGTGGTCATGTCTAACTGGATATCACGTCCTTCAGTACAAAAATTTGGTGCAAAAAATCGATGTCCGTAGCATTATTGTATCTATATCTAGTAAGAATAATAATAAGAGTAAACGAACATGTTCCCACCCAAAGATTAGAGAAATTTCAAGTTTCCACCCCTAGTTTCATTTTTTACATATTTCCACCATTAAATTAATAGAAAATCATTTAATCTGACGTTTAAAGGATAAAATAGTAATTTGAACTGCAATAAATCTTAAGTAAAAATAAAAATTTTAAATAACCCTTTACATCTCAAATTTCTTTCACAAGCACCCCTCATCACTCCCCTCCCTCGCGACAGTCGCAAAAAATTAGATCTGGCCAGATTCCATTACCGTTGGACATCACCGCCACCACCACTAGCTTCCCCCACTCATCCCCAACCAAATTCATCCACCCCTAGCCTCGTCTGCCTCCATTTTGGTGAAATCTGAGCATTTTCTCTGCGATTTTCCCCTCCTTTGCAGCTGCTGGAAAAATCTAGATCTAGCAGAATTCTAGCACCGTTTGACAACACTGCCACCACCACGAGTTTCCCCCACTCATCCTTGACAAAACCCATCCATCTCCTAGCCTCGTCCGCCTCCATTTTGGCCGAATCTGAGCCTTTTATCAACGATTTTCCTCTCCCTCGTGGTTGTCGAAAAATCTAGATCTAGCCAGCTTCTAGCACCGTTTGACATCACCGTCACCACCACTACCTTCCCCTACTCATCCTCGACAAAACCCATCCATCTCTCAGCCTGGTCCGCCTCCATTTTGATCGGATCTGAGCATTTTCTCCCTATTTTCTCTTCCCTTGTAGCTGTCGGAAAAATCCAAATTTATTTGGGGTTAAAAAGTAAATTACTAACTTATTTGTAAGGGTAGTTGGTAATTACACTCTCCATATTGTGTTAGAATCCAAAAATCATTCACGATGTTAATTGAAGGGTGGGAATATGAGATAAATAAAACCAAGGGTGGGAACTAAGATTCTCTCTAATCTTTGGGTGGGAATAATCGTTTACTCTAATCATTAATAGATAATATCAGTTTCCTTATTTGATCCAATTTTAGCGGATCTTGATGCAAAAGCTCAGTAACTTTTATTCTGGATTCTGATTCCTTTTCAAATTATTTTATTACAGAAAAACGTTTATTGTTGAATATTATACAGAGTTGTACTTGTGGGGATGTGAAAAGAAGGTGTTTTTTTTTTTGAAGTAATGGTCGTATCAATTCCACAATTCTCTCAATTCACATCTTGGACCGGACTTTCTCTATGAGCTCTCTTCTCAGGATTTTCCCTGAAGCTGACTTCGGAACGTTGTTTATGAATGTTACCCTTCGCAATCTTTTGAAAGGTGCAACCTATAACAGAGGAAACAAAACAACAAAATAAATTAGAACAATAAGCAAGAATGCACATATTTGGAACATCTGATAAGAACTAATAATTTAGGGAAAGCAATGAATTGGTGTTGGATATCCCTAAACAGGACAGATGGCAAAGTTTTTTTCTATTCCATGAACAGTTGAACTGATAACATGGAATTTCCCTGAACCATACGATTTCCACTAGATCATCAACAGTATTTATGATCTCGAAATGGCCAAACTCTTTGAATTTTATGCCATAACCTACATCCTAAGCCGTAGCTTGTAAAAATGAAACCTATTGAAGGTCCTATTTTGACAAGCCAAATGTTAAACTTGATGCTACAAATGAAGCACAGTCAGACCCCTGCATAAGAATTTTGCTTTGCTTCTTATTGTGTAAGAGTACCTGATTAGCAACGAAATTCTTAACAATTTCTTCAGTCAGCGAAGCGTCGGGTGAGCGAACAACATATGCAATTGGGACCTCACCAGCTTCAGCATCCGGAAATCTACATAGGTGGAAATGTTTCAAATTTCCAGCAGTGCAATTCCCAGAATATTTACTTTTAGAATGGAGAGACGAAATTTGCACATATTTTCAATCTTACTTACGGAATGACTACAGCATCTAATATCTTGGGGTGAGAAACAATCAGCGCTTCAAGCTCTGCTGGTGCAACCTAATGTGAATCAATTGAACATTTTCAAAGATGATTCAGTACAATAATTAGCACTTCAGATAATATACTCAGTGGTAAAGGGCTGGGAATATTAAGGTGCTGGGAATATTAAGGTTACCTGAAAACCTTTGTATTTAATTAGCTCTTTAATTCTGTCTACAACATATAGCCGTCCATCCCAATCAAAATATCCGATATCTCCTGTATGTAACCAACCCTTTTCATCTATGGTCAGTGTTGTGGCCTCTTCATTGTTGAAATAGCCTGAAATGATATTTGTCATGTATTATCTAACTTAAAACATTATATTAATGGAAATTAAACATGATTACAAGTTCCTAATTCAATGAATTTTGAAAGTACCGATCTTTTACTTTACATTTTCGTACAAGTTGAAACATTTTTCATGTTCCCAAACCACAAACTGAGAGTATAAGGAAAACAATATAATTGTCATGAACACTACCTTGCATGACATTGGGTCCTCGAACCCATATCTCCCCCAGTTGATTAGGAGGGAGACGCTTTAGAGTATCTACACTGACTATTTGGGATTCAATTCCTGCAGCAAGTGTTCCTGCTGAACCACTATGTCGAACTCCTGCTACATAAGGATTCTCCACTGAAACAATGCCAGAAGTTTCAGTCATACCATAGCCCTGAAACCACAAATGGAGCTTCTTGAATCAGGCTAAAACTTCCCACCTACTATAATTTAAAATTCAATAGAATTTTCTACTTTGTTCTGTCAATAACGATAATTTACCTGAATAATCACAGCATGAGGAAAGTTCTTAGCACATTCTTCCATCAGTTCCTTTCCCAAAGGAGCAGCACCAGAACCAATAAGCTTCAACGACGAAAGTTCAAACTTCTTGACCAGACTCTGCTTGGCAAGTGCAAGCACAATCGGAGGCACAATCCACATATTAGTCACTCTGTACTTCTCAACAGTCCTTAAAAGCATCTCAAAACCAAACTTCCTCATTGACACCAGAGTGTTGCCTTTCTTTAACTGTGTGTACAAAACAACTGCAAGCCCAAATACATGAAACATGGGCACACACAGAGATACACATCATCTTTTTCACCAGCGAGATCCTGGTCCATATTTATCGCCAAGGACGCCGCAATAAAATTCCTATGCGTCAAAATGACACCTTTGCTTGTACCCGTTGTACCTGAAGAGTACAACAAAGCAGCAATATCCGTCTGCTTAATGGAAACATCTGGAAATTCTGATACATTCCCAGATAACTCAATCAAATCCTGAAAAGTAACAATCTTTGAATTCGAAGATAAATTTTCTTTTGAACCCAGAATTACAGCCGGCAAATTAAAACCTTTGACTTTGTCCCATAATTCAGGTACTGTAATAACAAGCTTTGGATTGGAATCTTTGACTTGCTTTGACAGTTCATTGACAGTGTAAACAGGATTGACAGTGGTTGCGATAGCACCTAAAGCAATAACACCAAGAAAACAAATGGGAAATTGTATTGAATTGGGAGAGTAAATCAAGACGATATCGTTTTTACCGATACCGAGATGGCAAAAGCCATGAGAGACCCTGATCAAGGTGGATTTGAACTGGGAAAAGGTTAAAGATTCACCAGAATCAGCTTCAATAAGGGCTAGTTTGGACTGATAGGAAGAAGAGTTTTGAAAGAGGAAATAAACCATAGAAAGATTAGGATCTTTGGGGAGGACCAAACGTGGTCTTAAAGACCTGTATATACCATCACGTCCATAACCAGATTTCTCCATTGAATTAAAACCAAAAAAAAAAAAAAAAAAAGTTAATCACAGTACTGTTAGTTAAGACTTGATTAATGGCATCTCCTTTTGGATGTGCAGAGAGACGAAGACATTCATGTAAATGTGAAAAAAGTAAAAATAAATAGCAGATGATATTGATGGAGCTGTGTTGTGTTGTGTAGACAATACGAGATTTTCGGACAGCAAGGAATTTGGCCGGCGAATTGATGCGTTTGAACGATATCTTAAATGCTTGGTAATCAACGATGATGAAATTATGTTTCGTGAGGAGTAAATTCTATATTTCTCTTATCAAAATTTTAAATTTAAGTAAGGCAAATTTGTGTATCATTCTTTCATGGATATGGATATCCATGTGTCAAACTGTTAATGATTGAGTTTTTGGGGGATTTAATTTAAGTTTCTTGTCTCTTAAAATAATCCTTACCAACTCATTTTGGCTGTAGTTTTTGGATGATTATTACTTGAGCTTTGAAAGAATCAATCAAATATATAAAACACAATAAAATCACAGGTGTAGACGTAGTATAGCGGCAGCTTGATAAACCCATAAATTGATTACATCTTGTTGGTTAGAGTGCTTTCTGGCCCTTCCACAGAAAAATAAAAAATAAAAAACTCATGAAATTGGAAGACCATATTTGATTTGGTGGGTGAAAAAGATAAAATCTTGACATTAAATTATGTATAGATATCCTGTGTCTGTGTCAATATATCTTTGAAAACTTAACAAAAATGTTATTAGGGTCCAAATTCTTGTAACAGTTACTAATTATTTAAAATTTTGATCAATTCTGTATCTTAACAAATTCCAATGATTTTGAGTTATTGTAGGCGTAAATAACCAGCTCCAAAGCATGAAACATTAACACACCACTTCTGGCTTTAATTCGCTGAGGTAAATATTTTATCTTTTGTTATCTAACCCAGTTCACATAAGCTCACAAAAATTTAATAAAATGGCTTCATTTTCAATCACCACCACCACCTTATCACGCCTTTCTTGCTTTCGATTTACCACATCGACTACTCCACTTTTCTCTTCAATTCCCTTTTTTAACTCCCCAAAACCTAAGGTTTTAACACTCAAAATAATTTGATTTTCACTCACTTTTCTGATATTCTCATTTCTATTTATTTCTTGACTCCTTGCAGATTCCTAGTCAATTTCGTTTGTTCTCAATGGCGTCAGAGCTCAAAGAATCGCCTGCTAATAACCCTGGTCTTCAAACCACTCCGGATGAGGCCACCAAAGGGTACTTTATGCAACAAACCGTAAGCTCACTTAATACATATTACTTTCATTTTTAATTTTATATTTTGTTTTCGCTAAGTGTGTTTTTCTTTTTTTGGTAATTGCAGATGTTTCGAATCAAGGACCCCAAAGTCAGTCTTGATTTCTATTCTCGCGTGCTGGGGATGTCGTAAGCACTGTGTTGTGGATTCTTATTTGAACATATTGCAACTTTTAAAATGGTTTTAAAATCTAGTTAACTCTTTTAATTGATTGTTTACGGTACATTTGAGGGACATGTATTTTCTATAATCCTACGGGAAAACTAGGTTTCAATTTTTTTAGTTGCCAATTAACTTTTTTGTTTTTTTGTTTTTTTAGCTAAAGATTAATGGTGCTTCCTGGATATTTCAGGCTACTTAAGAGGCTGGATTTCCCTGAAATGAAGTTTAGCCTGTACTTTTTGGGCTATGAGGTAAGATAAGCAACATCGTAGCAGTGAGAAGTTTGCAGACTTCTACTGTTTTTTAAGACGTAGGTAATCCTGTGTTTAGCACACAATCTCGTGTATATCATATTATAAATGGTTCTATGGTTAGGGTACAGTGCACTAGTTTGTAAAAGAATCTCGCTGCTGAGAGTCTTAAAATTATACTTTCTTACAATTTCAATCCATCAGAAATTGCATAGATGCATTAAGATTTATGTCTTTTCGAAGTTCTGAGTGTCAAGTGTTCCTTAAAACGTGCCATTAGAATATCAATACTCATTCACAATGTTAAAGCTTGGGCGTTTACAAAAATATGTTTTGGTTAATGTGAAGACATTTGCTGTAAATTTTCTTCTCTGGTTGGTGTAGAATACTGCAACAGCTCCAAGTGACCCAGTTGATAAAACAGTTTGGACCTTCGGGAGGCCAGCTACAATTGAGCTAACACAGTGAGGGTTATAGTTTTTTCAATGCAAAAATATTCATTCTTTAGAGTTTGTTTACCAAATTTTTCTATTTTTTTAAAAACTTGTACAGCAATTGGGGAACTGAAAGTGATCCCGAATTCAAAGGTTATCATAATGGAAATTCAGAACCTCGTGGCTTTGGTATGTAACTTACATCATTTGGTTGAGATAATTGTGTCTTCCTCATTGTGAGCCAATGTAATGGCAAAGAAAAATTTCTTTTTTTCTGCTCATTGTTGGTGAAAATATGTTAGGAGAGTCTGCACTATTACTTTGTGTGCTAGTTTATTGAAATTTATACCACATTAATTGATCTGATTGATGAATCCATATGTAAACCTTCAGAAAATGTTTTTATCTTTACCATCTTAAGAATGTGAAACACATTAAAAAAATTAGCTGCTTTGTCCTTTTGAGAAATTTTTTTAATGATATTATATGAAGGAAGACGTATATAATAGTCCTTATTCTAATTGGTAATTGGTTTTGAGGGTCCATTTTTGTTGGTTTATGCAGTTTTATGTAGGTTGATAGTCACTACCATTTTACTTCCTATGGTGACCGAAGCAGAGGATCAGTACAAGAATTACATGCCTATACAATTTTTTTTTTTTTTTTTTTTTGTTAATTTCTGTAGACTGTTGCATTTATCTGCCAATGCCATAATATTGTTAGTTTTCATGTCAACTGTTTAGTTGTCAAATTTTCTCCTTAGAATCTTGGTTTGACATCTAATAGAGCTGAATAAAAATTTAGTAATTTGTCATCTTTTGGTTTCCAGGGCACATTGGTATCACTGTTGATGACACATACAAGGCCTGCGAGAGGTTTGAAAGTCTTGGAGTAGAGTTTGTAAAGAAACCAGATGATGGTAAGACACTTCTTTATCAGGCATAATACTATGCTTGATGAGTAGTGGCATGTCATTTTGAACTTGTTTATTTGGGAGATATATCATGACTTCCTTTTCTGAGAATTAATCTTGTCCTGTTAACTGATCATCAATATCCATTATAAATTGCTCTCTAAGTTCTGTTTAGCCAAAAAAATTGTGTGGTAGCTTAATATATTGTATGCCTGTGTCTGCAAAAACCAGGATAAGCCTCTATGGTATGCATATTGTGGAAAAGCATAGTAAAAATGACATGCCACTAAAAATGTAAAAGCATAAAAAATTTGGGATGGAGATCTATATGAAGGTGGAGATGAGATTCTTTAAGATTTTTCAAATGTTTTCTATTCACTGAAAAGTTGGCCTGCATCTTTGTGTCTTATGGTATATATAAAAATGCAAAGTAGCTTTTGGCATAGTATACGTTCATTTTTGTCGTTACAAACAAACCCTTGTAGCCATAAATAAACCTTTCTGCTTCCATACATGATATGGAACCCTTCTCAAAGAATATGTTTCAGCTTAGGATAAAAGATTTTGGTCTTTGACCCACCCCTTATAGCATCTCCTTCTCATTCTTGCCATTATGCAATAAATTGAATTCATTAAGCCAATATAACTTATAGTTAGATCCCCAAGGAGTATATTTTCTTACTAAATTAGAAATTTTTTATATTGGAGGAGAATATTTTTTATATAATAATTTGTTCCATGCTATCTTCTCAAAAATTGTGAGTTTATTCAATATCTATTTTCCTTTTTTAAGCCTCTTGGACCTAGGAAGCCCTTTCTATTTCATTTTTACAGTAGCATGAACAAGCTTGTGCTAAAGTTTTGTGAAGGGTAATGTACCATTTTATGTGAATAGCACTAATAGAGCATGTTGCTACTGTAATACGTAAACAAGAAAGTTATAATGCTCAATCTGAAGCATCTATATAACTATCATTGACACTTTATTCTCTAACCAAATGAAAATAGAGCCTCTGTACTTCTTTAAGGAAGTGGTGGTTACATTTTTGTAGTCATTATACCCAGCCCTGTAAGAGATATCAAATGTGTTGATGGCATCCACTCTTCACTGTATGAATTTCTAAAAGTATGCTCACTTGCATGATTCTGTAGTTGTTCTGCATCAATGAATTAGCTGAGGTTAGCAGTAGGGGACTGATTTCATTGGTTTCAATGACTTGTTGATACTTGATGCGATCTCAAGTTTTGGTGGAGGGAAGTGTAAAGGGGTTCTATTCTATATCCTTAGAGAATCCATTGATCTAATAAAAACTGAACAGATGAGTTATAGGATCCTCACTACACATTGAACCAAACTGATAGGGACTTGCTGATCTTAAAGCAAGACTAACTTAATTGTTTTGCTTTTCTTTAAATTCATGGTATGTCCAAAATTTTAATCATAAATGCCACAGGGTTATCTTGATTAAATACCCAGAAATCAGCAAATATTTTTGTAGGTTTCATGATGCAAAGTGCATATATTAACATGAATGGTTAATTGTGTGAAAGAATCCCTTAAAATTTCATGATTTATATGTTTATAATTGTTGTTTGCCCAAAATATGTCAAACCATTTGCAGGAAAAATGAAAGGTCTAGCATTCATTAAAGATCCTGATGGCTATTGGATTGAAATCTTTGACCTCAAAAGTATTGGAAAAATTACTAGCAGTGCTGCTTGATATGATGTGGCCCAAAGTGCAGGTAAACTTTGTTTTTTATACCCTTTTTTATTTTTCCTTCTCTAGATTCTAGATGGCACAGCTGAACTTAGGGTTTTTACCTTACCATTTGCAAGCTTCAAAACCTTTTTGCATTGGGAAACTACTTCGAGTCCTAGTTTATTTTAGATGTCTATATACATCTATGTTACTAGGACTGAACTTGATAGGGTTTTACCTTACCATGTTGCAAGCTTCACAACCTTCTTGCATTGTGAAACTACTTCATCCCTAGTTTATTTAGATGTCTATGTGCATCTATGTTACTTGGAGTTAGTGTTGAAGTATTATATTTGTACTATGTTACTGGGGCATAAAATCGTAGCATATTGTGCTTCTATTTTGGGAACAAATGAGTGGCAAAGGTTTTATTAACGCTATCAAGTGAGTGGAATGCTTTATTCAGTTTCTAAGGGTCTGCTTTCCCTGTATGGTTGACTTGGTGTTATGATATATTTTCACGCTACATCATTCATGTAGTTCAATAAAAACATGGTATATTTGTTTTCAGTTTTAATCTACCAATCATGGTAGTTTTTTTATGAATGAAAAGGAAAAAAAATGCATGTATGCTATGTTTTATTTTGATGGGCATATGTATGACATCGTATGCCTATCTTACTCTACACTTTTCCTTTCATATATTTACTGTTCATTTGGACTTGAAATTTAAATTTTCCCTTATGTGTATTCAGAAAATTTATGATTGAAAAAAACTAGTTGCAATGCAGAAGAATGGATGGTGATGCTGTCCAAATTTTTCATGGGGATTCACTTATAGTTGACATATATATATATATATATATATATGTCAAAGAAAGAGTTTCTCTTGTAAGAATTGATTTACCAAGTCAGAGTGCTTCGAATAATCTTATCTTTCTTCTGCATTGGCGCTTGTAAATTTGTTCAGCTATAACTTCAATTCACTGAGTTTGATTTGATGCAGGTAAGGTGGGATGACATTGATAGGGCTTCACGAATTTCGCATTTTTAATTGGATGTCTACGAAGAGTTGCATTGTAGTATCCATGCTTTGATGTGGTCTCCAATATTTTCTAGACTTAAAACTTTTTCCCCAGTAATAAAAGTTTGGTTGAAGCCCCTCTTCCTTTCCTTGTCTCTTTCTTTTTGATTGTTATGGGACGATGTTAAAGAGTAATACTTTTATGTAAATTCAAGCCCAGGACCTGTCTTTATTCTGCTATTCATATTTACGCATGATGAAACACACCTTATGAAGGACAGAATGAGAATTCATGGAGGGTTTTTTTTTTTTTTTGTTGTTAGGGGTGTTTGGGTCAGTTTATATTCACCTTAACTAATTCTTCGGGGGTTGAAGTTGACCGTCGGATAGATTTTCTTAGTGGTCATCCTATTAGCAACCTAATTGAATCAAATTCAAGAGTTTAGTTGGCTGCTGGATAAGTGTGGTTCATAGAGGGTTTTTTTATTTATACAAAGTGCATCTCATCTTCTTTGAAAATCGGGGAAAAAGAAATAATATTTGAAAAGCACTTCAGTAAAATACAGTTAAATGACTTGAGTGTTTTTCCTGAAACCGTATTTAAAAATAAAAAAAATAAAAATATTCAAACAAACTATTCAATTAACCTTTCGAGAGATTTGACTTTAAATATTATTATTATGAAAAATTTTAGCAAAATTCGGCTAGCATGGCCCATAGGGATAGGGGACATATTCAATGTTATACTCAGTCTTATCACACGTTAAAATTTTATAGTTCCTTTGAAAAGTAATAGGGTTAATTGTCCATATATACTTTATCTTAAAGTCTATACTATTCATGAGATTAAAAAAGATATTAAATAAACTTTATTTTCTCATCTTTCCAAATGGATAATAATTAACAACTAATAAGCCTATTCATATGTTAATGAATGTAATTAAGAAATAGAATTGGAACAATTCCACTGTCCTTGAAGTTTACCACTCGCATATTTTTGGTTTTCTAGGAAATTATATAAATTTATAATACATGGCCTTGGATCAACTCCCAAACAGCCTTGCACTTTGATCCAAGGGCTTCGATTGCTTTAATATAAGTGGATTATATATTGTCGAATTTAATTATTATTATTTTGGTAATATGCCTCAAATATCCAGCACAACTATTGTATAATCAAGTATATTAAATGTAGGAGCTGCCCGCATGAAAATTTGGTGTAAAAATATTGTTAAAAAAATGGTTAGTTTTGAGAAAATCCCTACATATTTCCTTCGGTTTGTCGTTTCTTAGATTAAACAAAAATTAAGGGAATCAATGTAAAACTGATGTTAATACCCTCAAATATGAATGTAGACTTTTGGTGTTGAAACTTAGAAAGTACACAAAAATTCAATGGTGAAGTGAACCCAGTTTTGTATTGCTCAGCAGAATCACGGATAACCACTTGATTCAAATGTCCATACTTTCTTTTCTTCAAAATATTTTCCATCATGGAAACACAAAATTTTGACATAGTCATTTTGACCCTTCATAATTCATGTTTCAACACTTTCAATTATCTGGGCCATGCATAATAGTCAATTTAATTATTGTAAAGATTCCCCTAAATTTCTTAAATGAAGCTTGAATCATACAGAGGTCTAAGATTAGACTAAATCTTGAATTAGTAGTAAGTGTACACATTAGCTCTCTTAGAAAAGACAGATCTTGGAGAACCCTCCTAGATGCTATGTAGCTAACTTGCAAAACTTTTATTATGTTTAAAACTTAAATTAAATTAAAATTTCAGTGAGCACTGCTGACAACAGTTCATATTTTAAATACTATTGGCGCAAAAGTTATTCAATTTAAAATAAATTTAATATTTTATAAAAATTATGTCAGGAGGAGGTTCTTCACCTTTTGACCTTTTACACTTCACTAGAAAAGACATTCTCAGAACAGCTTTCCCCTATTTATTATTCAATACAATATAAAAAAATCAAACCCCCCGAAAAAAAATATAATAAATTTATTAAAACAAATATTATAGTTGGCACCCCAGTTATTTTAAATTTAAGAATGGAAAAGAATAGAGATGCAAGGCTGGACCCGTGTAACAGTGGTTCACCATTTCTGACAGAGATCTTGTGATAGTGATAATGTAATTTTGGAGTCCCTTGGACGCCTTCCCAGTGGGGATTCCCTGTCCCTTGTTTATCTTTAAATAACTTCTACTTTTTTCATCTTTTTTTTCTAAACTTCCCAACTCTTTTATTGTGTATCATCACAATCTGTTGCTCTTCTAATCTTTATTGCATCAATGATTAAGAATTTGTGTTATAAATTTTAGTTTTATTTTACGATAATGTAATTTCTTTTTTATTCATGGCTAATGCTACTACATATGTCAACTCTCGATACAAAGTTTTAAGTAATATAAGTTGAAATCAGATTATTACTTCATTGTTTCACATCTATTTTGGTTTGTTTAATTTAATTTTTGTTTTCCCTTTTTCATCAATCATGCACATTAATCTGTGTAAACTAGTTTATATTGTACAATTAATTCCCAAACCAAATTAATTCTCTGATCAAACCAAGTCGCCTGTTAAATTTTGATAACTATAACTATAACAAATACTTTAATGTCGATTAGTTTTGGTCTTTACCTTAAATTTAAAGTAATACTGTCAATTAGTACAAAACTACAATGCTTAGTATTTTTTTTTTTCATCACCAGAGGTGTCCGACTCAGTTTATACGTATCTCAAGTAATCTCTTGAGACCCTAAAACTGCCAACCAAGTAAGAGCAAAGTTATTAATTAAGAAGTTGGGAGAGATTCAAGCAGAAAAAAGAAAAATATATTAGGGGATGCTTGTTACATTAATATGTGAGAAGTTGAATATTGAAATCACCCATGATGATGCAACAAATAAGATTAAGTTTTCTGCAAATAATGTGTTGGGGGATGTGACATTGAATAAAATGGGTTTGATTAAAAAGAATATGACAGGACAATGGTTTGTGATTAGAGATGAAATGGAGAGAGATGCAATGGTTCAGGAAGGTGTCAGTGTTCCAAAAGGGGTTAATGAAGGACAAGTCTATGTGCGCAAAAGAAGAAGAACGAGTATTGAACCTGGATAATCTGAGAATGTAGAAGATATGCCCTCTTATACTTTAGAGGAAATAGAAAGTAGATTTGAGCGGATGGAAAAGTTTCAAGAGGAGAGTTTTTCACGTATTGAGAGGCAAATGCAAGAACAACATGATCAATTGCAAAGTGATTTCAACACGTTTGCATCAAGAATAGAAGAAACAGTTGACATCATTGGAGAACGCATGACAAAGATTTTCAGCATGATGAAGAATTTCTCAACAACCTCTTTTTCCTACAGTCAACCTCCACTCCCTACACCATGATGAAGAATTTTTCAATAGCCTCCTTGTCAACATTCTTGGGGAACGCACTATGAGTGTTAATTATGATTATGTGTACTTCAAATGCTTAGCTTTATATATGAAGATTATTTTTGCCTTTTGTTTATAAATATATTTGTCTTTTGTTTATACATATGTAAACTACTCTTTTGAATGCATATATATATGTAAGACTAGACATACCTAAAGACATCAAAATTCAAATCTCAAATGAAATGCATATCCAAAATTCCATGTACAACAGGAGTCTGCAATGTGACGATAATATATACTAAAAACATTCATAATAAGTTACATTAACGTCATTATCATGAATTCACTACCCTACACAACCAATGACGAAAATACTAAAAATAAAACAACTGAATAAGCATACAACTCAACTGCATTTGGTAGAAATTAACCAAAGCATGAAAAATTTCTACCAAATACAATTTTATATGCTTAAACATGGCAAAAATATCAAACATCTCCCAACGAGACATGTTCATCATTTACAAACTCCTGTCCAGTATAGAAATTACTTTGTCCTGCGAGAATAAGAACAGGACCAATGGACATCTGTCATTATTTAACAACTATAATTTAGCACACGTTATAGAAAACTTAAGGCAATTACAATTATACAAGATACATAACACATACCTAGGTAGTAACAACATCGTTCGACAACACTTGAGTTTCCGCATCGGCTACAGAAGTACAGGAAAGAAACTATTCCTTTTGTCGCTGTACCGATGATCATTTTCCTAAAAAGTATCATAACATATTAATAATCAAGTCGATATTATTCTAAACTTAAAAAAATACTCAAATAATGTATAACTTATACCAATTCTTTATTTTTGTAATTTTTTATTTTCAACCTTACGTACAATTTCTTCAACCTTCAATTACTTTCTTCTACATGGAGGACGATCTTTGCTACGAGTTGCCTACAGACTAATAATTAGACTATTCCCCTCTTTCGGAGGACTGTCCTCGTCTTGACTAGTCAAACCGGTTGTGGAAGAGATGTTCACTTTTGTACCAAGCCCTCCCTCACTTTCCTTTTGCTTCAACTTTTTCCTCATCTCAATCATAAACTCCGTGATCATATTATAATCTTCCTCATTGTTTGATGTCATATCCGCTACTGTCAACATTAAATTAGACAACTTATCAAAACGTTGTCCTTCAATGTTGGTGCTTCACCTATTATAACTGACCTTAATTTTCATATGACATCTGTTCACATTTTTCCTCCAACGCCGTAAAATATACTTTTCTGGAGCGTGTGAAACCCTTTTATGAATCAACACCATAATGGCATGTCTGCATAAAATCCCTCTGAACTCAAACAAATGACAAGTATAACGAATATCACACAAACTTTCTTCAAAGTATACCGAATACAGAACACGGCGACTAGTATCTCCAAACCAAATATCTTCCAAAACTTGATACTTCTCGCATGAATCACATTTTTTCAGAAAAGATAACTCACAATAAATCTTCCCCGCAATCTCTTCTTGAAACTCTTTAAACTTTGCAGTTGTGTATGCAGTTTGAAATTTTTTCTCAATGGGGTAATTAGTTATGCATGGTATCCAAGATTTGAAAGATCTAAAATCAGCCTCCCTTTCTTTTTCCACTTTAGATCGCAATGCATTATCATATTGTTTCACAAATTGTTTTAAAGTAGTTTTGGAATTTACATACCCGTAAAAAAATGCATGCATACTTTCACTACGTTGGGTAGTAAACATACTTGCCCAAAAAGCATCATTAAGAAATGCAGGCACCCATTGTACTCTTTCTTTGTATAATCCACATAACCATGCATTCTCGTGAAGGTTGTGCACATCAACAAATTGGTTCCACCGCTCTTCGAACTCTTCACGAGTAAAGGAATCATATACAACATTTTACAACTTAAACTTTATAGTTTCATATTCCTTATACCCTCTTAAATTTTCAGGCAGTTTCTTCATTATATGTCATAAACACCACCTATGTCTTGTACCAGGGAAAACTATCTCAATTGCATTTTTCATGGCCTTATCTTGATCAGTGATAATTCCATTAGGAGCAACATCCATGCATTCAAGCCAAGAACGAAATAGCCATACAAATGTCTCAGTGTCCTCATGAGAAATTAACCCACAATCTAACAACGTCGAATGTCCATGATGATCAACCCTCATAAAAGCAGTAAATGACATATCATACTTATTCGTCAGATACGTTGTGTCGAAGGTGATAACATCACTGAATTCTTTATATGCAACCCTACATCTAGCATCAACCCATAGCACATTCTGTAATCGACTCTCTTCATCTACATCAATCATGTACCAGAAATTTGAATTCTCCTTTTGCATTTTCCTAAAATACTCAAGTATTGCCGAAGCATTTCCAACTCCAAGTCGTAGCTTTCTGACTTTTTCAATGTAGTTCCTACAATCTTTTTGTAGAAACGTCAAATTCTCTACACCTCCTGCCTCAATTGAACATGACCAAAAATTTTTACACGGTCTAATCCCAACCACATCATTAACTTCAAGTCGCCTTTTCACATAAGGTTGTATCGTTCGGTTAACCTTGAAATATCTTCTTTTTGTCGGACTTGTAAGATCATGGTTATGTTCAAGTATAACTGATTTAATTTCCCATTTGCATTCACCATTCAAAGCTACACTGATCCGACTCTTATAATCTGTTTTGGCAACAGGTTATTTTTTCAAGGTATTTCTGGACTTACATATTTCCTTCCCAGAACAAGAACATGCCACTATCACATATCTCATCTCTCAATCTTCACCTTTCTTTGACGTACGTATCATTGCTTCAAATCCCATTTTGTTATCATACCATTTGTAATACTTTACCAGACTATCAACTGAATCAAACACTATTTCAATATGAGGCTCTACTTCTTCCTCTACACACCCCATATCTTCTAATTCATCACGTTCATTTTCCTGATCATTCAAAGCTACACTAATCCGACTCTTACAATCTGTTTTGGCAACAGGTTGTTTTTTCAAGGTATTTTTGGACTTACATATTTCCTTCCCAGAACAAGAACATGCCATTGTCACATATCTCATCTCTCAATCTTCGTCTTTCTTTGACGTACGTATCATTGCTTCAAATCCCATTTTGTTACCATATCGTTTGTAATACTTTATCAGACTATCAACTGAATCAAATACTATTCCAATATGAGGCTCTACTTCTTCCTCTACACATCCCATATCTTCTAATTCATCACGTTCATTTTCCTGATCATTTAATAGTTTTATAATAGATAAAATTAGAATGTACTAATACAACACATCAAAAGAAACAATAGATACAATAAATTTAAAATCATGTTAATGAAAAAGTTAAGGTTTCGAGCACAATTTACCTCAACATCATTGAAATGAGGCAAACTGGACTCTTCCATATTCTGTAATTTAATGCAAAACCAATACTAGTGTTCGCGTTTACGAATCTGATTCATAACAATCACCAACAAATTTTCTCTATCAGTTTTTTTCTATTGTAACATATATTCAATCCAAAATATAATACAAAACTAAATAAATGCATAAGTTAAATAAAAATCGGTTAACAACCTCAACAAATCCTTCTAATCTGGACAAATTTTGATCTTCTTATCTCCCTTTCCACTGTAAAAAAAATTGTTTGATGAAAAGTTTATGGCTTTCGTTCTTGTCACGGTAGCTAGAAAATGAGGAAAATACAGCTGTTGAGGAAGAAATGATTAAGGAATGCAGACGCAAAGAACAGACGGCAACGATGAAGCAGAAGGCGGCGATAGGTATAAAATGAAGTTTTCTTTCGCTCGAAGAATTTTGGCGCTGGTTTTTGGAGAAGCTAATGTTATTCGCAAATAAAAAAAAAATTATTAAAAAAAATTTCATTATATTATGGACAGGCGTCCATTACTTATAGACGACCGTCTTTTACATAAGGGACGACCGTCCAACCCTTACGGACGGACGTCCATTACTTACGAACATTTGTCCACACCTAAGGGATGGTCGTCCACAATTTATGGACGACCGTCCAAGTTTTTTATTTTGTTTTTTTAAAACCACAATAATAATGGACGAGTATCCATTACTTACGAACGCTCGTCCACACTTAGCGGACAACCGTCCACAATTTATGGACGGCCGTCCAAATTTTTTACTTTGTTTTTAAAAACACACAATAAGGGACGGACGTCCATTCCTTAGGGCCGCCCGTCCAAATTGGAGGGACGCCCGTCCAAACTAAAGGGACGCCCATCCACAATTTATGGACGAGCGTCCAAATTTTTTATTTTGTTTTTTAAACTAGAATAAGATACGGGCGTCCATTCCTTACAGATGCCCGTCCAAACATAATGGACGGGCATCCCTTATTTGCGAGTGCCTGTCCAAAATGAAGGGACGGCCGTCCATAATTGATGAACGACTGTCCCTAAATTTTTTTAATGTTTTAAAAAGAATTGTTAATGGACGGGTGTCCATTAAAATATGAATGCCCGTCTAATATTTAGGGACATCCGTCCATAACCTATGAACGGCCGTATCTAATTTTTATAAGAATTTTTTATTCATGGACGAGCGTCCTTTAAATAGGGATACTCGTCTGTAGTAATAGACTCCTGTCTATATAATATGGACGGGAGTCTATATAAGTGAATGACTATCCATATTTGATGAACGGTCGTTCACTAGAAAAAAATAAAACTAACATAAAACGCGTTTAGTTTATTGGTGTGAATCAAAGGACACGTAGACTAGTATAATATTTTGGTGTAAAAATCCCGACCCCCGTAGCATTTTTGTAACGAGTAATGCTTGTTGAATAAAGGATTAATTGTCAAAGCAATTACATGAACAACAAGTACATATAAATTATTATTATTATTATAATATTTCATTGTTTATTTGCCTGCCAATGCAGACATAAATAAAGATAGAGCTAGCTGATGACCTCTGATACAATATTATATAATGAAAAAAACAAATGGTGTGTAAGAAGACTGAGATTATGATTCTTAATTATTGATAATTTAAAAAAGGTTCCGCCTCCACAAAATTCCAAAATATCCAACGTCATACTCTTTAAAATTTCTGGTTTCCAAGTTCCCACCTTGGGTCTCTGACTAGTTCATCACATAAATTAAATAAATAAAAGATTCTTGGCTGATCAATATTCCTGGCTACAATTGTACTCACCCATCCCCGAATGATAACCCTACTCTCCTTTGTTAATTATTTTTTAATACAAAGGACTCATAATGTTATTGGTCCTTCAAAATCTAAGTTGACTACAGAAACCCACTCACCATTTTAGTCAATTTCATTTGATTTATAGGGTTAGAATTGCCTTCTAATTTTTCTCAAGATAATAATATTAACACCCAATTGATGCGAGGAGAAGATACAAAAAGAGAAATTATATATATTTAATAATAATAAACAGTGAATGGTCTGTTTAACAAGTTTGTTCTCGAATGGAGATAAGTTCATTATCTCTGGTCTAGTTTTCATAAACATTTATAATCTGATTGGGAATTGCACTGATACACAGAAACAGAGAGACACCGTACAAACAATAACATCATCATCTCCCGTTCCCAAAAAAGAAATGTGCACAAAATAAAAAGAAGCTTTACCATGTACCGTCAAAGGAATTCAGAAATGTTTCAATTTATGATCATCAAAAAACACAAACCCCCAGAAACTGAAACAACGTCTTTTCATCTCTGAATCTCATCTCATTTCACCATCACCACCTTATCACAGACCTCACCTTACCCCATCAGATCTTTTTTCTGATTTTACTTACTCCATCAGTTGTTGTAATAGTGTTGCATCATCAGCTTCTCTTGTATCTTAATGCTTTCATCACCACTACTACTGAACAAGTTGAAGTTACTATTGTTGTCGTTGTTGTTGTTGTTGCTAATCAGTTGCTTAACATCTTCAAGACTATAGTTTGATGGGGATGGGATTTCTCCAAAATACCCATTTGGTTTCTCAGCCGCCGCCCATTGGTCGTTGTTGTTGTTGCCATAATTACTAAGCATGAATTTGTGGTTGTTTTCTTCAAACCCTCCATTAGAGAGATAACCCTGAAAACTCATATGATCCTCTTGTTTGATCTCTCTCCCATAACTGAGCTGACCGCAACTTCCATCGGAAGAACTGCAACTTGTTTCACTACCAAACACGAGGAAATTTTCTTTCATGGGGTAGTACTGAATGGAACTAACCGCACCTTCTTGGATATGAAACTGTGTGGCTAAAGAAGTTGAGTTACTGGTGTTGTTGAACAGGTGTGATGGAAAGGTGGAAGAGATTGATTCAAAAGAATCAAAACAGGAGAAAGATTTGGTTGGGGTATAATAAGTAGAACATGAGTCGTTGTTGTTAAGTGATGATAGTAAAGATTGAGACGATGGTAGTGATAAAGTTTGATGATGAGAAGATGGGAATGTTGGTGGTTTTCTTTGTGATGAAGGAGTATTCATGGCGATAAGCCTCTTCTTCAGCTTGGTGTTCCAGTGGTTCTTGATATCGTTATCAGTCCTGCCTGGTAGCTGAGCAGCGATTATTGACCATCTGTATGCAATTGCATGTGTTTGTGTTAGTAAAAGTTCCATAACAAAGAAAATTAAAAAAAAATTATATGCTTTCATCAAGATTGCCCAAAAATAGCCGATTCTTGATATAAATGCTACTAGTTTACTGAAAAAATTGTCAACAAAAAAACCCAAAACATTTCTACTTTTCCCTTCTCGTGAGTGTCTTTTTTTAGATGGATAATATTTACTAAATATAGACCTTTACTTTCATAAAAAAAAGTTTACAATTTAAGAAAAAGAAATGATACCCATAAAAGTTTGGGTAGTTAAAGAATAGAATACCTGCTCCCAATGCTGGCAAATAGGCTGTAGATGATCCTATCTTCCTCATCAGTGAATTCGCCATGTTTAATGTTAGGCCTGAGATAGTTGAGCCATCTGAGTCTGCAACTCTTCCCACATCTCTTTAGACCTGATGGATCCAAAAAAGCAAATAAATATCCATTCAGAAACAACAAAGAAAAACAGATTACATTGATTGATTTGTTTGTTTTTGTGTGAAGAATCATATCTGTTTGAGATTATTATATCTTACCAGCTTTCTGTGGAAGAGCAATCCAATTCCCACCAGTACCGTATTTCTCTATGTACTCCTTCAGCTTTGTGTCTTCTTCTGGTGACCAAGGCCCCTTCTTCACATTTGCCTTGTCACAACAAGGAGCCCTACCCATCTCTTTCTCTGTCTCTCTCTCTCTCTGTCTCTTTCTCGAAGAGAAGTGATTTTATGATCTCTTGGATATCTCTGCAGACCTCTTTTAAGGAACAAAGGTCTCACTTTCTAAATGAAACTTTGGTAAGGGTGTCATTTAGTACCAATCGATAGGAGATTTGGGTTGTGTAGAAATAAATATATATAATAACTTTTTTTAATTAAAAAAACTTACAATAAGTCAATATTAGTACCAGTTTTATGGTAATTGGATAAGCTAATAGAAGTTTCTATTATCTCAAATGCAGCCCTAAACATAACCTTACTCTCTCTCTCTCTCTCTCTCTTTGATGGATCCAAAGTCTTAAGCAGGAGAAATTAACACAACAAAAGGCAACGAATCGATTATCGAAAGCTACTTGACCTTTGAATTGTGACATTTTCCAAACCAAAGACTTAGCGATATTTAGGTAGATAAACAAATAACTAACTGGCTTCAACTTGGTGGTTATAAATATTAATTACCAAAAGCTTTTATGACTATAACTTTGCATGCTTCGACGTCATTATTTTCTTCCTCTCGAGATTTGCATATTTAATTAAATATTTTATTAAAATTAATCATTTATTTACTACCAATTCTGGGACATCTGTAACAATCTTCAGTTAAGATGTCCCTATTTAGCATTAAATAAATATTCACTTGGTGTATTAATTAATTTATACCTGAAAATATTATTTTGTTATCAGGGTCTATCAGTTTAATTATATATGCAAAATTACAGACAGTAAAAATTTAGAATACTGAACACGTATTGATGGACCCTCACCTATGTATCGATCAGATTCTTCGTCCTTAAATTCATCTGACCGAGTGTTGTTTCAGAATCGGAGCTGACTTATCAATGCCATGGATCATACAGCTATATATATATATATATGGCAACAGTTTTGATTAATTATTTCTGCATGCAAAAGTAGGCAAACAATCCTTACAGATGACACAGCTGCAACATTTTACCCATTTCCTTACCGTGAACTTTTGTGTATTATGCTAAGTGACACTTCACAGTTTCAGCCACTAGGGACGAAGTCCAGGGTACTATTGGATTCTGTAGGCCATCAAAATCAATCTTTATATACCCTCAGTAACTGTTACATGTTTTCTACAGTTACCAATTAATATTTGAATTATACTTGTATAATTTATATTCATCTTTTTGAGTTTTATTTTTATTTGTAACTCATGTATACATTATACATGTATATTTTCTTTTCATATTGGTTTGTACCAATAATTTATATATATATATAATACTACATTCTTTAAATACTTTTTGAAAATGAGATTATGGAACGATTAGATCTGATTAATTAAGCTATGTATTAATTAATTTTTATTTTGATTATCATGTAAGGTGGCCTCCACCATGTGGTTGGTTCCCTCATCCTGTTCATGGAAGTGACTTTATGATGATGAGCAATAGCTAGGAGCCAAATTAGACCAAAACGCTAATTTATACGAACTTTATATGAGCGATAAAGTTGATTCAATTATACACATGTCCCTGAAAATTCAGCATGTTTTAACAGTTTCTTCAATGAAAGGCCTTATCAGTGAGGCTAACATAACGTACATGGTGAAAACCGACTCTCCCGATATTTTTCATTATTCATAGTAAAAAAACATATACCTTTAATTACATGTCGATGTGGTAAAAACAGATATACCTTTTACAATATTCTAAATCTAATTTGTAATCGAATATTTTTCTGACCCTTAAAGAAAAGGAGAGATAAAACATAAAGAAAATTCTGTGACCCAGAGTATTTCTTTACAGAGTCAATTTTGTGAAGCTTCGCTGAAGCTTTAAATGTATATATAAATATCACCGTAAAGTAGAGACATTTATTAATATATTGAATGAACAAAGACTAGATTGGCTAAGTGGGAAATTTTCCGTGACTCTTTCATTTGTTTTTTTCCATTGATATTACTCTTAATAAATTTAAATAAAAAATTGAAACAAATCAGAGGTTGTATGTCTCCGAGACCGAGTATTGGTACGTACTTTGACTCCTTAATTTGTTGGTTCAAAACCATTAATATTTTCTAGGTGTCTACGTCTAGCTAGGCTGATAAGTAAAGCCTGGTTTGATGTAAGAAAACATGTGATTCGCAATGAGGAAAATAATTAGTGAAGTTTACTAAGACAGGTCTAATCGGATATGAAATTAGCATGGATTATATGTTGAAATTTTATACCAATATTTGCATGGTTTACAATACGTATTAATTTTATTGGGTCCCGCTTAATTATTTTGTTAATGAAGTGGATTGGATCATTGCAACGTGTATTGGTGTCTAGCTGTACAAGAAAGCAACTAGTTTATCGTGTATAAACCAGAAACAAAGAACTTTAAATTTAATTAAAGTAGTGATTATAATAAACTAAATTACGTACATTGCAGCCTCAAATAAAGGAAAAAAAAAAAAAAAAAAAACTAATTGTAAAATATCTTGTAAATACTGCGCCTTAATGTAATTGTTACTTCATTTAGAAAGCTCGATATGTTTTTTTTTTTTTTCATATAATCCTTCATTCATGAAATTTTAAATGAATACTCGCTGTAAAAATAAATTAGAGAGGGTACGTGGAATATTAATACATATATACATCATAAATGTATATATAATTATATATGTTGATGGATAATGAATTAATAGAGTGATATCACTGAAATCTCAAGGATATCTAACAAAAATATTTTTATTTTATATCTCATATTCTTATTCCCCCTTTGTTACCAACAACAAATAAATTCATATCCATGTTCGTTGACCTGTCTGCCTGATAATAATTAAAATCAATTTTAAAACTTTAATTTGCTTCCCCTTCACAATCAAAGTATATCCCAACTAAATGCTTTTTTACTTGCAAATTTGAAATTTGTGACAGGAATATGTATTAATTTTCTTTCATTAAATTAAAAAGATTATCGGCTGGAACACCCCTTTTTCCACACTACTATTTTTTTCTTTTTAATTTCACTGTTGGTGAAAAGAAAGACAACTAGAAATTGTGTTGAAAACAGGAAACTGCTGTATAACTTGATGGGAATCAAACAATTAATGGTCTGAATTATTCACCAATTTACTATAAAGTCAGAACTCAGAAGTATATTAGATACAAAAGGTTTGGAATCAATCAAGGGAAGACTATACCCTTTTCAAGTGCTGCAGTTTAATTAATTATGTGAGAAAATAATCTGGCTCAAAAAGGAAAATTTTAATTTCCATGTCTCTTTGTTTAAAGGAAAAATATTGATGATCTCGATTAACCAATCGATGAATGACACGATATGAAGCTACCAGAGGCCATTTTTGATATCTCACTTACAGAACAAACACATGCAAGCAGACATATACATATATGACCAGAGATCAATAGTCATCTTAGATAAGACGATATTAATTAAATAAAAAAAAAAAAAAGCAAGTAAACCCAGTTCATTTCTTTGATATATTAATTGTTCCACTTCTAAGCAGACACTAAAATTTAAAAAAAAAAAAAAAACCATTTTCAATGATATTCCCTTATTATTTATCCAAGAGAAAATTGATTGTGCAATATAATTTAGTTATATATTGTTCCACCTCTAATGCAATGGACATTGACATCTAAGGCTGCTAAACCCTAATTTCAAATATATATTTTTTTTATATAATGGAGGAGAAATTCAATGGCCGAAACAAAATCCTGTCTTAATCAGTCACTTTACTAGTTCGTTGCAATAGTTAACAAATAATTATGTCTTCAATGCTTCAAATTTCAATATATTTAATAATTCTAATTACTCCCACTATTTTACTTAAATGTTGCTTTCGTGTCATTATTTCCTTTCTCACATCTGTTACAGTTGCATGTATAAACATTTTTATATACATGTACGTAAACAACTGCTGTATAAATAAATATACACGTTGTACTTTGGCCAGCATTAACAAACAGACTTTGAAGAGATAAACAAGAATAATATAAGTGCATGGAAACATATCAACCTAAAGATCTTACTTGTAAAGAGATATATATATAATTTAAGGAAAAGGATAGAGAAAGGGCATTATTTTGTTTATTAATTAAGAGTTTAAAATTTAATCTTTCTCTGTCGTCTCTACTGCCCAATGGAATCTTTAAATTGAAAATACAATTGGATCTTCATTTCTCTATCAAGAAGATAACAAACAAGGAAATAATTAATCAAGTTAACTCATAATTGGGTCAAATATATAATATACAAAAAGAAGAGACAAGTTTCGTCATCTGCATTGACTCACAGAGAGGAAAGATTCACACACTCGTGTTTTTCTCGCTTTCTCAACGGTTGGCAAACTAAGCTAGAAATTTTTTGCTGGCTGTATCCATTTTTCGTTCAATTTATAATATATATATGTTTGCAACAAGTGAAGGAAAGTCTTGCTAGTTTCCTTATTTTGCAATTCTACCCCGAGTTTAGGCTTATTCCTTTGAAGTTTGAACTCTTTCAAGTTGGTGATCGAATAACCCACTGATAAATTCGAAATTGCGTTCTTATAGACAAAAAAGTAAAGAAAAAGTTTGGGTCAAACAGGCAAAAGAAATGTTAAAGATCAAGCGATTACATTCTTCCAATTACCAAATGCAGACTGAGGGAAACAAACTATTCTTTATCTTGTTTTACTTTTCTACAATGTTCAATGTACATGAATATTGTATATAACTTAGTAATTAGTCATGCGTGTAAAATCAAACAGCTGCATTCAAATGGCGTCCAGCCGTCTAGGATCTGACGTTAATGGTGATTAATTAAATTGTGTTGTTCAAATGATAATCAGCTTCTTGAATGCAGAAGTTGACAGGTGTAAACATGATGGAACCCGTTCATATAATTACAGGTGAAAGCTTTGGCCACTCCATCAATTGACAAGCCACTGAGTTGGAAAAGTCATCAAAACTCTTCTCGCAGACTACCACCTCTTTTATCAATTAAACCCTAGTCAAGGTTTCACAGTGTGCGAAAATTTAGGGGAAGAAAATAAATAGTAGGAAAAGGAGGGACTTGGTGTTGAAAGAGAGAAAAGTACACAAAAGTCAAAGAAAGTTT